GATACTGACTGAAAGAAGTGCCCAGAGCTCACTCATCTCTCAGCTCCCACAGGCCCCAGCCCACTAGAACACAATCTCTTCCCTTCTTCTCCCTCCCTGCCTGAGGGAAAGGACGAAGGCACCCATGTCACAAACCAGCAAGTTGCAGGGCTGAAGGCCTGCAGCAGCATCAATGCCTGTCTGTGGTGGCCAAACACATGCCCTATTTATAGAGAGCCTGACTCAGCGGGCAGTGTGGAGACACCCCACCTGTCCACGTCTGCTTTCACTAAAGGGGCAGAATCCTGCCTGCCTCTGCTCCAGGGCCCACATGGTGACAAGGTCCTACCATGGCAGCTTGAACCTCAGGACACAGTGGACAGCCTGCACCAGACCACTGCCTCCACCCATTAACAGATACACATTAAACTGTTCTGCTTTTCCCAGCAAGTCTTTCAGGTACTTACTGGCTGTCACTGGATTCAATGTAAAAGATACTAACCAAACATCTAGACAAAAATTGAAATATTTAAGCTGACTGTCTATGTATTTGAGGCATTGTGGCTTGAAAGCACAAGTTTAGAAATAACTTGCCAAAGTCCCTCCTCGCCTTCCTCACCCCAGAATGAGTGACTGGAGGCTCTGCACCTCAAACTGGCAGCTTTAGGCCCAGGGCTTGGTAAGCTCACCCTTGTCAAGAGATCCTTCCTTCAGGAATCTTCACAGCATCGCTTATCCATCCTGCTGGTCTACCTTGCCTACAGCAGTCTCCATCCACCCCAGGGAACCTATGGTGTGTGTTTCACGCCTCATGACCCCCATGCAGACTTCCCAGTGCATAAAGGACTGACCCTAATGAGTTATTTGCATGGCTGAATTCATTCTTCTACCCCTCATGTAGTAGCCTACGTCCACAATATTTACAACTTGGAGTGTTTGATCGTTGCAGTATGGGCTCTTGCAATCATCATTAGCCACGGGGAAGGCTCAGACCTGGGCACCTTGCCAGGTTAGTAAAAGTTTCCATGAGGAAAGCTTTTTGTTCTCTCTCAGAGCAGCTTAAGCTCAGGAAAGGGGTGGGGATGGGAGTGAAAGGAGAGAAACTCACAGCCCAGACAGGGCAGACATGACCGGGCTCCCTCGTCTACCTGCTTGTTGTTTTAATGACATCTAGACTTCTGAAACCCTAAGAGCCAGTGAGGGAACTGAAAGGCCTGATTGTGGCAGAGGCCATGGGGTGGCCACAGTGACAGAAGGCACACAGTGGCAGAGAGGCGAACACCTCGGGACCAGTCATTTTAGCCAAAATGAGCTGAGAGGACAGTGCTCTGTTCAGCAAAGCAGTGCTTCTGCTGCCATCAGTCCCCTTCGCATAAACACCAGACTATGTGCCACAGCCCTCACAAGCAATCTAGGATGGTTTCCACCAGATGTGTGCAGAAGAGGAGCCTGTGCATAAGGGATCTGCCCGCGCTCACAGGCACAATCCAGAGAGGACCTAACCGGAACAGGAACACCATCATGCAACCCAGACTTTGACAATGGCCAATTCCGGGAAAGAACTGGGAAAATGGCTCATATAGCTGTGTGGCATGTTTTTAGAAACCTACATTTAAAGTAACACGAGGTCCATAATATTAATATTTTTTAAAAGTACCTTGTGGTTCTGCCATGCTCAAGAAGTCTAAATGGAAAGCTTAAATCTTACGGATATTGTTGGAACAAAGAAGAAATTATCACTGAAGTTTATTTAAGGGCCAAAATTTTTGCAACAAAACTTGAAAGTAGAAATGACTGAAAAACAAAGACTCCTAAGGAGGCCAATGGGAGCTTCATTTTTTATTCTGAGGCTTAAATTATTCCTTGAGGTAACTGGATGTCCAGAAAGCATACCACCGTCACAAGTCCTAACACGTAACCAAACTCAAGTTGTATGCATGAACTATGTGTGAACTGGCCACGAGGATCACACACCGATGTAAACACTGAAAACTTATGTACCCAAAATGCACCAGATTCTCAGAACTGGATATAATATGTTCCATTGCCTTTTCACTCCATATTCCCAGAAAACAAAATCAAAGCCCAAAGGAAACAAAAACCCACTACACATATGCAATATGTACTTCCTACCTCCTCCCAAGCTTGGCTGCCTTAGAATCAAAGCACCTCTCTACCCCGCAAACCTGTGCAGATGGAACCAGCAGAAATTATTAAACGAGGGGCCAGAATGGGCTAACAGCCATGACGCCACAGGCAGGGAAAGCACCTAGGGAAACTGCTGTTTGGGGAGGGCTGGTCCGTCTCTGGGCTTCCTTAGTCACCCGATCACTTGGACTGCGGTGGCCACATGCTTGTCCCTCTGTGTTCCTATCAACTCTGCAATTGCAGGAAACAGTTTGCACTCCGGTGAAGGCTCAGGATGCCTTGTGCCCACACAGATTGGTAAACTACAGAAGAAAGCTGTTCAAGAGCATGGAGCCCTGTCTGCCTGCCTGGCTGTGGGGGTATCACAGGGAACCCAGGGACCCTTTGTTCAGAATGCTCACTTCCACCAAAAGTGTATTGGCATCCTCAGCTTTCAGTTCTTCCTGTTATATAAATTGACAAAGACTGTTTGCCTTTTACTAAGGCCACTGGAAATCAATGGAGTTTAATTTTCTGGCTTAGATGTTTGTGGTTGTTTCCCCTCTCAATGTGCCCTCCCTAGGGTGGTTGTAAATGTAAACTGAGACTGAAAGGAAAAGACATCATACTCAGGACGGGTTCCTCTGCATTAATGATCAGCTCCCTCTCTGCCTTAGGAGAACTTCTGGCACTGACTTCATGTGTCAGCAACGCTACACCTCGGTGATGGGAGATTTGCAATGCCTGTGCTTCTTTTAGGCAGCAGGGTGAAAATGAACAAAGTATATGCCAGACAATAGTGCTCCAATGTCTCCTTCCATCCATGCAGCTCCATTCAATCTCGTGGGGACAGTGCCAGCACCATGTTCTACATGCTGAGTGTACTGGACACAGCAACCTCATCTCATAGTGCATCTCACCTGGCCCACATTCCAGCTCACAACAAAGCTGCATCTGACATTGGCAGCCACGATGTCCAGAGCAGTGGGAAACGAAGCTGAATCTGCTTCCTGTCTCTGGGGCACAGGGCACTGCCCAGACATGGGAGTCCAGGGCTGGCTGGTACAACTGCCTCTGCAAGGCTGTACTGCCCTTGACCAGGTGACAAAGCCCCAGAAGGAACACACAGCACTTCCTGAAGCAATGCAAGTGGTGAGACTGAGGGCAAGATCATCAGTCACTACTAGGGGGGCTCCTGGGCAGAATCCTCGAACTAAGGAAACAGTACTGTATGGCCTATTACTGTGAGCCTGACCACCTCTCGAGGCCTAAGGGCGGTTTTGTGTACTGGGTAGATGAAAATGGATTTGGAGTGGACAGCCAGATAGAAATTGGAACACCTTTGACATCTTGTGGCCATAATAAACCTCCAGGAAGGTGCTCAGGGCAGCAATAGCCTTTGAACCTGGATCCAAAGAGGCCCAGGAAGGTGAGGAGCTCATGAGTGAGCTGTTGTGGGCCCCTCACATGAAGACTGAAGGAGAACTTGATGCCACAGGAACATGACCAGCAAGCACACCACAGACCAGAGCACTAGGTTCAAGCACTGGGTTAAATATTTTTTGAGTACAAATTCTGCAAGCATCCTCCTCAAAAGCTTGTAGCTTTGAATTAAAATTTTGCAAGACAACATTCAGTAGGAACTTTTGAAACCCTGAGGCTCGAGTTTTGCCCACCAGGTCACTTGAGGCTGATGCTGGGCCTGTTACCATGAAGTTTAGAGGGCTCCTCACCCCCAGGCCAGCCCACTCGGCACTGCAGGCTTTTAGGAGACCAAGGAGCAGATGGCTGACACTTCCAAAGGTTCCCTTGAAGCAAAGGGCTGCCTGGAAGTTGACAGCTACAGCAGCGGAAAAAGCCAATAGCATTCAGCTCCACTACTTTTATGGAAGACTGGCTAAAGGAGGATACAAGTCTCCAGCCTTCGAGGGAAGGGAGACTGAGCAAGTCCCAGTACTGTCCTGGGCCCACCTACATCCGGGTGGCAGAGAAGAGATGGGCACCTGCTATAGGTGTGCCGGTGAGCACCCTGGGCTGGGAAAGAACGCACAGCAGGAAAACGGGCTGTGCCTTGGATGGAGCCCAAACAACTCAAGAGGCCCAGACAACATGAAGGAGCCCACTCCTAATGAGAGGGAGGATCACCTTACGGTGCTTACGGTACAAGGGTGGTCACCAAGGCACTCTGTGGGGCCTCTTATCATCCATCTCCAAAAAGGAGGGACTCTCAGACGCAAACACATGCAAAAGAACAAGAGGTGTCTTGCCTGTCACGCAGACCTTAGTTCTCAGACTTCTGCACCAATTAGCCAGATCACTGATATCCCAGGTGCTGCCTTTGCAAGCCATCCTGAACATACCGCATTCTGGTGTGCTCCTGTCCTGAGCAAGCCTGTGCGCTGAACTGGGAGGAGGTCCCTGCCTGGACAGAAGTGCCCTGCTCCTTGTTTACATCCCCTGAGTGCCTGACATTTAAATTAAATATTTAAATATTTCCACATGGCTGCCCAGAGTAAAACATTAATCCTAGCTAGACCTTTGTCTCAAGACTGTTCTCTGAAAAAGCTCCTATAAGGCTCAGGAGTGCTCGCTTCTACTTGCTGAGCACCCAGGCAGTTCTTTGCTCAGCTTTCATGAACAAACTTGGGATCCCCAAGTAACCCGCAGGTAGGAGCCCCTGAGATAACTGGAGCAGAACCAGTGCCATTCAGCTTGCTGCTGCAGGCCAGCAAAACACAACACAGCACTGCAACAGCACCCACAACCACACTGGGGGACTGTCTCCCACATCAGACATCAGCCTGATGATGGCTCCTCCGCACCCCGCCTTCTTTCTCGAGCTCCCGGGTAGGGCGCCAGGTGGAGCGCACATCTGTCCATCTGTGGGTACTTACCATCATCCAGGTACAACTGGTCCAACTCTTCAGGTTCTCGCTTGATCGTTACAGGAATAGGGGCCAAGTTATGATTACTGTCCTCACGCACCTCTGGCAGTGACAGTGGCCCGGTCGCTGGAGACTCGTTTCTTCGAACCTTCAGTGGTTGGTGCTGCTGCTGGCCCGTGGCGGGAGGGTGGGCTGAGGACTGCAAGCAGGTTGGCTCACGGGTGGTGGGTGGAAGTGGAGAAGAGGGGCTGCTGGGACAGAGTGCTTGTTGGTAACCAAGGGAACAGCTACTGCTCAGATGTGGACTCACCTGCGGCTGCAGCAGGACAGGAGGGGGCTGCTTGGGCGAGCCAGGCTGCACAGGCGTGGGCCTTGGCACTTGCTGAACAGCGGGGGCCTCTGCAGCCTGCGGCCGAAGTCCAAGGTGACCATGGCCCGGGCTGGTGATGCCCTTGGTGTAGGCAGCGGAAGAAAGGTCATGGAGCTCTGGACTCGAGCTGGGAGGCGTGGACATCATGGTGCTCCTCTGTGGACATGGGGCGAAGCCGGCCACAAGGCAGGAGCCGGGGTCGGGCGGCATCGTGAGCTGTGGACTGTAATACGGCCTTGGGAGAGGACTTAACCCCTGGCTCATGGGTCCACAGGTCAGGGCAGGCTCATAGTCATCGGTGGGTTCTGTTTTTACAATTGGAACTGTGAAGAGGGAAGAAAAAGTTAAGTAAACACAAGTTGCAGATGGGTACGACTGGCGGGCTGTGGCTAGGATACCCTTCGCAAAACAAACAGTGTCTTGACTGAGTCCCTGTCTCTGACTGGTTCTCCCACCCAATTAAAAAAGGAGTGAGTCACCGGCTGAGAGAGTTGCAGCTGGTTCTAATACTGAGAGAACTATTTTCCTTGGAATCTCCCCCAGCTCTAACGTGCTATAAAAATCCATTTGCAAACTGCAGTAGAAGCTCTGGGCCCAAGGGCCCTTGGATTTGTAGCAATCAAAGAGAAAATTTTAACTTGGAGGCACTACTGCTCTATGGCTACTGACGCTGTCTGATAAATTCTGCACTTGGAGTAAACCTGAGCATGTGGCAGGGTGGCTTTGGAAGCCAGTGAGAATCCAGCTGAGAAGGTAAACAACTGCTGCAGGAGAGAAGCTGGGAATCACAACAGGAGAAGAACACTTTTGTGTTGGCAGGAACGCCACCTCTCCCTCTTCCCCTCCTGGTTTCCACTCCTAAATGGGGGACCCTGCAGAGGCAGCCACCAGGAGATCCCGCAGCTCTTCAGAGGATCAGGAGCTCCCAGCTCACTGGACCACGCAGAGGCCAATGGTCCAGGAAAAGTGCCCAAAAAGCCTCTGCGGCTGGGCACTGGTCCCAGGCTGTGGCCAGAGCAGGCGCCAGGCTCCTCCCTCAGCTGCACAGGCTTCTGTGCTTTGGTTTCCGCCGGAGAGCTGGGAAGAGTATGGGTATGGTGAACGGTCCGGGAAGGGATGCCAGGCAGACCTCGCAGGGGGCCCGTTCCTGCCCTGCTTGCTTCCTGTACTGCCATGTTCTTGCTGGTCTTGCCTCTTCTGCCACTCAGAAGAGCCAGCTAGATGGTCCAGCTATTCCACAAATGAATTCCACAAACGACTGGCAATACACACTGCAGTTCATGACAGACCATGATGCGGCTTCATGCCAGGGCAGTGTGTCAGCCACGCAGGCAGACTGCCGTTCCATTGTAGCTGGAAGGCTGGATGTGGCCCTTCAAACAGGCACCCTGTTCCCAGGACAAAGACATACCACAAGGAGGGCTCCCTCCTCTGTAAATAAATACAACCACATCTACGTTTTGAGAGAAATTCTTTAGCCAGGTCTTCTGCCAGCAAGAATGTGTGTCTGTTCCCTATTACAGCCCTGGAATATCTATGTCACCAGCAGCTATGAACAATGAAGACAGAATTTGCCTGGAGCTTGGCTCTAGAGGGACCACCTTGCTAACGGGTGATTTTGTGGAGGCCAGTGTAGGGACAGGTTGTCCACTGGCTGCCTGAGGTGCCACACTATCTAGAGAGGACAGCACCCTAGACCAAGGATCCACACACTCAACCTCAAAGCCCAGAAGTGACACTGAAGCCTTCAGGGCCGGGAGTCCCGAGGGGCACCGCAGCTGTGTTTGCATGCTAACTTCTGTCTCCAGTTTCATTCATTCTAATTGTTTAAACATCTCTCTGTGCGGAATAGGTAGGTACAAGTGCTGGAGTGGTTTGACTGCAGGAAGGGTTGACATTTAGAAGGTAAAGAAGCAGCGAGGGCAACAGTGATCTGGGGCCTCAGCCATACTCAGGCAGCATGAGCCCTCTAGGGCCTGTTCTCCACCTGGAGGCCAGGTGTCCCCAGTCCTTGGCCATAGGATGGTCCTTCCACAGGTACCTGGGAAATGTGGCCAGCACAGTGAGCCAAAGGACAACAGCAGATGGAGGACAGACCTCACATGGTACCCAGGGAGTGCTGGAGTTTTTCAGTCAGCCACATGGACTCCACCAGCAAACTGGCCAGACATGCTGTCCTTTGGGGAAGGCTTTTCCCACTTCTCCCGTAAGAGTACTACCCACCAGGGGCCTGGAAGAAGGGCTCATGTCATGCTGGGCCTTTCCAGAGCTGCCACTTGCTGCACAATGACATCAGGACAACTTGCCACACTGAGGGCAGTCAGCTGGTCACACAAGGGCAGCAGGAGCAGGTCCATGTGCAGTCAGCATTTGTGAACCGCAGAGGAATGAAATATGGGAGCATCAGCACTTGGCACCCAGGCTGCTGTGCGTTTCCGGAAGAGGACCCCACCTGTCACCTTCTGAGAGCTGTGAAGATTTGCCATAGGGACGTCTCTTGGAGTGGCAACCTGGAATCTTGGGCTGACTGCTGAGCCAACCAGGTGACAGAGAAGGGAATACCCTCCATAGGGAGCAGACCTGGCCACACAGGTCAAGCTGTATAAGCCCCAAGACCAGGCCCACTTCTATATGGCTCCAGCATGCTTGAGGGAAAGGCTCCTGGTGGCTCAACTGGTGTGGAACCTGGAAGAGCCCCCTCATCAGGGGCTGTCCATTAACCTCTCCATCTGTACATCAGTAGCTATGTCTGCAGCCCCAGCGGGGGGCATCAGCTTCCTGCATGGCTAACATTGCAGAGGGAACCACAAGGACAGAGAGGGCTCCCATGCCTGGTGCTGGGTACACACAGGGCTTCCTCATAGATCTCCCTGTGAGGCGTGATGCCCCTCACAGACACCCATCTGTTTTCTCCCACGCCCATGGAGTCACAGGCACAGGCGGTGACAGCTGGCTCCTCTGTGGGTCCCAGACCTGCTGTGCGTGAGGGAAGGGCCCACCAGGTGGCTGCCAAGAGCCATGAGGACATCCTCCTATTGAACCAAAAAAAAGCACTGTAAGTCATTCCCTTGACAGCAGAAAGTCACACACAGGAAATCAGCTGTGGGTCCTTCACTTTTACAAGGGGCTGCGTCTCTCCAAAGAAGCTCTGGAAGCCCCCAGTTGTCTGGAATCAGACAGCACTCACAGGCCAATTTGTCGCCCAGGGCACCGCACTGGCTCCAAGCATGTGCCCCATCCAGACAGCTCTGTGGAGGAGGAGGCCAGGTTCCAGGAACTGCCCCCAACCAGAACTGTTCCAGCCTGTTGCCAGCAAGTTGTAAATCCAGAATTGGCCAGCACAGGGCAAAGTCAGACTCTGAGAGGCACCTGGGAGGCGGAGCTGGGTCCAGGCTCTGCCGGCAATAGGGGCACAGCTGTCGCAGAAAACGGCACCAGACAAATGAGTAGGACCCTGGGGTACCCGAGTCTCTGCTGCTCAAAGGATGCCCCTGAGAAAGGCCAGGGTCCACACAACAAAGATTAAATTCTAAATTAAACTGGTAATTTTCAAAGTTCATGATCTTAAAAAAGTCTATGGCTGGAAGGTTAAATTAATACCCTGCTGGGACACCCTCTGATGCACAGGACTTTTCAGCCAGGTACCAGGCCTAGCTCATCTCTCACACAAAGCACCTCCTGAGCTCTGTAAAAACTCTCGCCCAACTGCCCTGAGCAACATGAAAGGTGCAGTCCCAGACATGGCTGTCCAGTAAATGCCAGCAGCCATAGTTTACCTGTCACATAGGGACAGTGACAGCCAGCGTGGGCTGGACCTGGGCCAGTGATCCAGAGGCCAGGCCAGGTGGGGTGAGCAGGAGGGCGGGTGGCACCTACTGTGGTGAGCCCTGCAAATTCTGTTGTTTATGACCTGTTTAAAATGCCCAGATATAGCTCAGTGGTTTCACCGCCTGCTGCACAAGTGCAAGGACCCGAGTTCGATCCCTGGCACCAAAAAACCAAACAAACCATATTCTATTTAAAAAAAAAAATGTCCATGGCCCTGGAGTTAATTCCTGCATCTCCCCAAACACTTCAGGGTCTTTCAGAGGCAACACAGGCACCCCACACGCTGGGAGGTACCTCCCGCCCACAGGGAACGTGAGTCCTGTAGTGACGGTGTGAGCCCAGGCTCCTAGCTCTGGGGATGAAGAGTGGACTGAGATGGAGGCACCAGGTTGGGCCTCAGGCGGGTGGAAGGTCATGTGGAGGCCTTATGACACCCTGCACCACCTTGTCTCTGCAGCCCACTCCTTCCTAACTACACAGCCTGCAGTCAGACATCCAACGAGGCTAGGCACGGGCCTCTCTGAGACATCAACTTGCTGCCCTTAACCAAGCTGGCTCTGCGCTCCCTGCCTGCCCTGGGACTGCAGCCAGTGCCAGCACTCGCGCCCTTCACGCTGAGGTAAAAGGGGTGCAGGGACTGGGGCCTGGGACCGACATTCAGGGAGGTGCCCTTCTAACAGTAGCACTTTATGTCCAGGTGCCTCAGCCCTAGACCCAGATTCCAGCCTGATCTTTGGGGTTGAGCATGAAACAGGTTGGCACCAGGGGAAGGAAGATACAGTGTGTGTCCTGCCATCTGCTAACAAGGTACCAGCTCCCTGCACCTGGCTGTGATGTTCTTGCTCCTGGGCTGAGGAACAGGATCCCCCTTTGCCTGCTCTCAGCTTGGCTGCTGAGGTGCCAGCTTGGGGCTAGAATTGGGGGTATGGTTTCTCAATAACCAGCCAGTGGAACCTGTGTGAGCGAAGCCCTGTCCTGGAAGACACCAGGCACCCAGGGCCTCCAAGGCTACCATAGCCTTTCTTCCAAGGGCTTCTACCCAAAGCCCAGCCTTCTCCACATGACCCTGTCTCAGCCTCATACTGCTGTCTCCAGGTCCCCTGTGGTGGCAGTGCTGTCACATGCAACCTGTGCAGCAGAGGGCTGCTAATAGCTTCAGCAACTGACTGAGGATCTCCAGTCACTCAGCACCAGCTGGAGGTGCTTTGGGGATGAAGCAGCCTCATGTGCTAGCAAAGGAGTTATCCCGAGTTTTCTCAGCCCCTCCTTGAGATCTGGATGGAGGGCCTGGGAAGTCAGAGACTAAAGTACACATCTGTCTCCTGTGGTATCTAGAAAAAGGCAAAGCCTGAGTGTCTTATGAGACTGCTGGGTCTGAACTGCACTTTTCATGTGGATTTCAGAGAAAACTAGAGCTGCAGAGGAAGATGCCTCTGTTTCCTATTAGTGAGGAAACAGAACATGCAGCGGCTTCTCCCACCCTGTCTCTCGGTTCTGGAGGGCAGGGAGGCACGGCAGGGGGACCATGCGGAGAAAGCTTTCTCCTTGGGCTGACACTGGGCGTGATGCAATGTCTCCATCCTGCTGGGCCTGGGCAGGGGACTCGTCACAGGATCCGGCCCAGTGTAACTCACTGTGATGCTGTGTAATGGCACACAGGAAAATACCACATTACCCAAGTGGTGAGTTTATAATCTAAATTTATTACAGAAAGCAAAAGTGTGAAAGATTAATGCTGATCTTTAAGGCCGGCTGTCATCCACAAAGCATGCTGTCTTGCAGAACGCAGGCTGCTGGTGCCTGTGCAGTTGCGTGAAGTCTGCAACACCATGTGGCTCTGGCAGCCACACATTGGCCTGAATTCCTTGGCCTCATGCTTCACAGCCCCACCATGTGAGGCTCAAGTCTGGTTACACCGCTAGCGTTCCGTGGGGCCCCACTTCCACAGCTGCAGGCTCAGTCGAGGAGGCAACCTCAAGGAGCCTGAGTCCTGTGGTGGAAGTCTTGCTCCAGGCTGGAACTGCTGGCTTCTCTACGGCCCTCCTGGCCGGGTGCCAATGTAGGCTTCAGTAAGAAGTGCCCAGAAATGTGATGGGGAGCCCTCTCTCTGGGCCCCTCCTTCAGCCCCTGCAATGGTGGTGGTGGTGGGGGGGCGGGGAAGAGCCTTCTAGAATATTCCTGTCCTCTTTTGAGGCTCGAAGCCTGGGGGAGGGCCATGCCCCAGGCCAGTCCTCTCTGTCTCGAGCACCTGACTACTCTCAGCAGAGCAGAATGTGCTCTTCTTTGGGCTGCCTTGGTGTGTCCAAGGACCAGGGCTAGGGATCTTGGCTCCAGAGCTCACAGATTTGGAGCATTCTACTGTAAACTGCTCAAGGGCAAGTGTGCACCTTGTAACTGCTGGGGCTTGGCTGTGTGTACTGCTGGACAAATGGCTCTGGCCTCGCAGTTCCTTCCTGCCCGGCCAGACCACAGGCCTCTCTGAAGTGACTCAGTGGGGATGAAGAAACAGCCATTCTGCCCAGCACTGCCCAAGGCTTCTCTCCCTGGTGTACAGCCTTCTTGCAGACCCTCTATCCCACTCCCATCTGACTGTTCTGATAGATGAAACAGAATAGAGGTTGGAGAGGGCTCCAGCAGGATCCGGCAGCAGCACTGAAGCCTTCAATGCTCTTCTTGCCCCAGACCCCAAGACTCTCACGTGGATGGAAGAGTCAGTGGCCAGGGCCAGCTCCAGCAGGCTTTCCGGCCACTAACAAGTGGTGTTTGGCCCATTCTCACCTGGGGCTATGGAGGGCAGTAGCATGATTTCCCTAAATTCAGGCCATCCTAGGCACACAGGTATCATGCAAAGATATGGTCTTGTGTCTTTCATGAGCTCCCTTATGTGAGGAAAGGTGGTACAGGGGCTGGGCTCCCCTGTGTGGCTTTGGACTCCTCTTCCACTGTCCTCCTTGTGGGCCCGAAGATACAGACCCATCACCCATGCTTGACAGGGAGATCACATGTGTCTTTCTGAGACCCTGCCACTGCAGAGGTCAGTCCAGATCAGCCATGGGAACTTGCTGGACCTCTGTGGGGACAGGCCAGGCTTCCCACCTGAAATGCCCGTTTAGGGGCCAGGCTCCATTAAGTGTCAGTAGTTTGTGAGCCCAAGTGTTTTATGTGGAAATAAGACAGCTCTCTAAACAAATGAGTGACTAAACTGTCTCTTCAGCAAAATTTTAGTGATATGAACACCCCATCCATGCCTGGCAGAGTGCCCCATGTCTGTTATGTGAATCAAGGAATCAATGGATGCAGAAAAGCACTACCCCACAGTGCACACTATAATCTTGGCACTCTGGGAAGCTGACACAGGAGGATTTCAAGTTTAAGTCCAGCCTGGGCAACTTAGCAAGATCCTTAATAAAAAAGGGTTGGGGATGGAGCTCAGTGTGAAGGCCCTGGGTTCACTCCCCAGTACTGCAAAAACAAAACCACCACCCAAAGCCACACAATATGGTAGACAAGCTTTCTTTAAAACACCCTTCCCTAACTCATAGCCTGTGGATACATAGTTCTCCTGCACATCCGATGGGCATTCACCATGCCAGGATGTAGCAGCCACTGCGAGCAGAGGAGGGAGCTGCCCAAGTCTGTCTCCCACTTTCTGACTAGAGCAGCTGAGCTTGACTTCCTATCCAATTGTGTCACCTTTCAGCTAATCAATTCCCATAAACCTCAGTTTCCCTAGCTGTAAGATCAAAATGCAAGCTCTGCCTAAAGATTGTGAGGATTAAAAATGAACATGCATGATAAAGGAGCTGGCTGCCTACTCCACGTGGAAGCCTGTTGTGTCAATAGCAGCCCACACCCTGCTTTCCAAACTCCACCCCTGGAAGAGGTAGACAAGCCTGGGGCTCAACACAGATTGTACTTTGTCCCCCAAGACTTGCATTGAAGCCCCAACCCCCAGTGGAACTCTATCCAGGATGGGGCTTTTAGGATGCAGTATAGCTATATGCTGTCACATGGGTGGCCTGTCTGCGAGGGCTGGTGTTCTCATAGGAATTTCTCTCTGCCATGTGAGGCCACAGTAGAAAGAGGACTCACCCCAGAGCCTGAACATGCTGGTATTTGATCCTGGACCTACAGCCCCCCAGGGCTGTGATGAATGGACATCTGTTGTCTAACCCCTAGCAATGGTGCATCATCATGCTGAGCAGATGGAGCTGATGTTGGTGCAGGTCCCTTTCTTCGTCTGCAGTGACATCTGGCCTCCAAGTAGAAATGGACACCTAGTGATGTGGTGCTTGATGCCTGCTGGTGACCTGTATGCTTAGCACGATGACGAATGATGACATTGTAATCTTCCTTCTCATTCTATGCCCACATTTTGAGTGACCTCAAGAGTCTCAGTGTGAATTACTTTACCAGGTACATTCTGCAGTACTGGACAAAACAGGTTTTGTTTCAAGGTCTAAACCCTGAAGGAAAAAAAAAAGATCCGATTGTCCTTCACTGCATGGCATTAAAGCCCAGGTTTTGCCATCAGTATGAACAATCAGCAATGATGACCTTGGGGCATGACTTTTAACTAAAGACAAAAGGAAAGGAGTGAATAAAGCCACCTGAGTGGAGCCCCTGAAGGGTGAGAAAGCACACCTCTGCTCTCCTACCAGAGATCCATAAACTCTGAAGGGCTGAGGGGATTCACAGAGCAGTGTAGGGAAAAGAATGCATACCACCCACACGCTGTTTGGCACAGGGATGCAAGTTACTGCAAATCCAAGATCCTTCCACTTCTTCTTTAGTAACATGTCCTCTGTCTTCCATGCAGTGTGACCCACACCCTCACTGAGATGGAATCCAGGGCTTCTAGGAAGCTCTGGTTTATATACCAGCTGGGCACATCAGAGATCTATGCACTGAGCTTCAGCTCAATCGTAGCTGACAACAATGGCTCACGGTGACCATGAAACAAGGACCAGCCTAAGTGCTGCCGAGTAGCATTTAGCATTTCATTTAGTCCTCACATCAATTCTGAGAGCTGGAGATTGACAGTGTCTGTTTCAGAAGTATAAAAGTGGGCATACCGAGATTAGTTACTTCACCAGAGCCTCAGGCCAAAAGCAAGAGTGAGGACCTGACCTAGGTGGAGAAACGAGGAGCAGGTTTGGTTGTCTGTGGGTGTCAGCCCTGGCCACAGGTGTGGATGAGCCCAGCTGTCCCTGAGGGCATGGTTAAGTGGAGATCTGATGATTACCAATTAGGCTGATGGCAGAGGATGGTCAAAACAGACCACACAGCCAAAAAATATATTTATAAGGTTTCACCCAATAATTGCCAATGCTCACTTTGTGCTTTGAGAAAATGACTCATTCTGGTGGATCTCATCCAAACAGCTGCAGATCCAGGGTCTACAGAGATGGTCAGAGGACAAAGAGCCAGGCCAGGGCCTTGACGCTGTTTAAGCAGCTTCGGGCCCTGTCTGGGAGATGGGCTAACAAATGGGTGGGCTGGCCCACCCTGGGGTGCACAGGTCACAGATGGAATTAACTCTCTAGTGCTTCCCCGTTCCTCCCAAGCCTTGGTCCCTAGACTTCTTGGGTGTTCAGCTCACACTGACTCACACTTCCATTTGTTTTTGGTGGCCTGTGGCCCTTAGACTTCTATACAAAACAGCCTTCCCATACCCTCGCCCTGGGGGGCTGTTGTGTGTCTTGTGCCCGGGCCAGTTCCATCTGGAACCAGTTCCAGTTGGAGTGTTGGCCACACTCAGTCTCCATGTTCTATCCCCTAGGACTTTCTTTCAAGCCAGTTCAGAT